AGATGACCAAATAGATTAGATTTCTTAGGTCTTATTCCAATTTACAAAATTGGACTTCAAATATGTTCGTCCATGTCGTCTCGAACTGTCATAGAAGAATTAGATTCAATTAATTAATAAATAAAAACTATGTACAATATATGGGTAACACAAAATCGGATTCAAGTTGATTGATGAACTTCTTTGTTGACGGCTTTTTGCCATCTTTGAATGAACAATTGTATTTCATTTAAATAAATAAAAATAAATGCTTGGTATTTATTATTTAAAGTCATGAAAATAATATTAAAATTATATCTTCTGTTGTAGATCAATTCGTTTTTCTATTAACTATAGGCATGAAAAATAGCGAACAAACAACACATTGGCTATTTTATGTTCTTTTTTAACATAGAACTTTATTCTAAAAAGGTTCAAATACTAAAATAACAGGCTTACTTCTAACTAATAAAATTTCTCCACAAGAATCAAGCAAATCCAATGCGGACAACGTATTTTATTTTATGTAAATTTTCTACAATTTGATTAACTCGGTTTGATAGAATAGTACGTGATTATTTTCTTTTGAAAAATTTTTATTGGAAAAAAGACTTTCTTATGCTCCAATATTTTCAATATAACTCTAGGTCAATGTTCTTCTCCATCAAAAACTGTTTTAGGTCGCTTTTGTTTCAAGTTTTTTTCAACCAAGAATTGAGAACAAGGATGAAGTTTTGTAACGAGCAGTGTTTTTGAGATTTTTCAATTGATCCATGTTCATAAATTCACAATTAAGCAGAGATTTTTCAACTGCGCAACATGCATCTAGAATATTTTTGGATCTAATGTTTTAGTTCTCCCTAAAATGAAAATCTTCGAAGACTTCTTAGAAAAAGTCCATTTGTAAAATTTCGTCAAGATATTCGTTTTATGAATATTAACTCTTTTGTGTTGAAGGTATACTTCGAAAAGAACAAAAAGTTGAAGTTCTGTCATAGCTGGACATACTGTGTCGTCATGTAAATGAACATAAATGTCGCTGAGTCTGGCAAAAATCCACTTAAAATATTTTATTTTATCAAACAGTTGCTTAGAGAGATTCTGAATATTTAACACATCAAAAGAAAAAGATGTATTGTAAATATAGTAAATATGAATGAGTTACTGAAAAAAACACTAGCTCCGGTTTTGTCATATTCGTCGTATTCGGCGCAGCACAAATCAATAGTTCGGGTGTAGATGTGGGTGGTTTAGGAGCACACCCATATCAAGATCCACACTCACATCCGCACCCTCAATCGCTTTATAAGACATTTTCTTTAAAACATACGAATTAGCTCTAGGCTAAACTACATCTGTTAATAATCGATTCAAATTGATCTCTAGTTATAACGGCAATACGTTCATCTTCAATATCTTACATCATTTCTTGGTGAATCTATCAAGAATAGTTCTGCTGATCAAAAGCTTAGCGCTAAGGTGAATTGGGGGTGAGGAGAAGGGTGAACGGGTGTGATCGCAAGGTCAGCAGTGTGCCCATCATCTTCAAGTTCACAGAATTGGAAATAATATTTTTTATACAATGAAAATGATAAGAACAGCGAAGCAGAAAAAAATAGACCTTTCTATCACGAACTTCTTCGAAGTAGATGATTGAGGAGTCATTCCCTGGAGATCTTTGAAGAGTTGTACTTCGCATGGTGAATAGAGGCGATCACTAGCGTTAACAATGCCATAAAACCAGACTAACTATCGTGGCATTGAATGGTGATCTTCATGGAAAATAAGTCTGTGTTTTCGGGCAACAAGATCCCAATTGATAGCACATATTTTTTCTTTGTGAAAGAAGACCATGTGCGTATGAAAAGTGCAGCCAGCTGTGCGAGCCATATATTCGGTGCAAATCAATGGTCGGTTAAATTGTCTCAATTCAGCTACTTGTTGCATATTCTGCGCTAATGACTCGTAACTATGGAAAGAAATGACATCGGGTGATTCCAGTTCAAATTGCGTCAATGTGCTATTCAAAGGACCAGGTAAGATACCAAAAGTCACTGGTTGACTTGAATTGTCAACAATGGCAGCAGCAAAGACTTCACGTAGAAGTGGCAAAACGATGGGCATTTGTTGACTGCACTCGGGCTCATTGTAGAGAAATCCAAATGACTACGCGAGAATCATTGGAGAAGCGAGTGAGAACGTCATTTGTGTACCTGAACTGAAAATAACATTTGTATTATCGGTTCTTGAGTTGTCAATCTAAATACCCCCTGTTTTTTTCTGAGCTAACAGAGTCAAACTGTAGGTCTATATTTACGTGATTTGGGATGTTGGAAATCGATGTATTTTCAATTTAGAACTCGTGTTATTTTCCTATTATCTGGCTTTCACTTGTGTGACGGCGTGCTAGCAATAACAAAACCACTCTAATCCTAGTTTTTCTCGTTGGACTATGAACACGTTTGGACTTACTGTTTCAAGAGTGGCCATGCACTATTACCCATTAGTCATGCTTGTCCTGGACATCGTACTCACTGCGAATTGTGCTGACTCGGAATAGGTTCTGGTTGTGGACCTAGCTGCGGATCTGATCGGCAATATTCATTAAAAAGAGCGAACATGATTTTAATACGAAATTGATCAGCGATCGTAAGGAAATCGTCCATCTTTTTATAGAAAGCTCTTGGATCTTGATGATAGAAGAGAACATGAAGGAACACACGCATTATGTTCATATTGATTTTTGAAGCCCATTTAGTTCCCGTTCCATAGTAATAGTATCAAATGTTTGTCACATACTAATCTTGTTGACTGAGGAAGAAGGTACAAAATTAGCTCCGAGATACTAAGGCTGATCGCTGTACCAAGTATTTGTCTGTTCAGGTGTCCGACGAGCTCGATAAGCTCCAACTTTAACACGAGCATACAAGATCAGTAAGACGAACAACAAAAGCATCTTATTTATGAAGAGAAATACGTCGAGTTGCAAGCGACAATATCATTGCTTTTTTAATTAGTCAGGAAAGCTTTAGTAATAGTAAAGAACGAGTGGAAGATAAGATAAAGTACAAAAATAAAGAGCAGTGATAGATATCCTTATGCAAATAAACAGAATATTTGCACTGAAGCACTTATCATAAGTGACAACATTCTTCGTCGTCAGTCGTAGTTTAAAATACTATCTGAAAGCGTTACAGTTTATACTAGACAAATCGTTGGCTAATCAAATATTCTACTAGTATGGTCAATAATCCGAGATTAGTTACGAAACATAAAAGAGACACAATCTCAAGATTGATCAACGATTCATTTCGATCTTTGAAAGCATATTGATTTGACTAACTCTTCATTCGTAATATGAGCACCTGCTCTGCCCTCAAATATTAATCCACCATTCTTGGCACTTTTTTCAAACTTTCCTGTAATAATTTTCCTTTTACGCTGGCAGATAGCTCTTCACTTCTATTTTTCACTGAAAAAATTAGTTTGGCAGAATGAGTGCAATATCTCTCTCGAATCTCAATCACATATCACTTTTAAAGCCATCATAAAAATCTGCATGAAAATATACACAAGCGAAGCTGTTAAAACCGATATTATACAGTGACCATTTTTTCATCAGTGAATTCAAAACATTATTGAAAGTACTTTTGATCGAACTTTCTGCCGTAATACAGTATTCTCCGCGAAGGTGTGAATGTGGTCTATGAGTGTGGATGTGAATGTGTCCTTAATCCACTCACACCCTCCTAAAATGATTTGCTATACGTTTCACTTTTATAAACCCCTCGTGAGGATTGTTGGTGAATAAAGAAATACCCAAGCCCACATCCGAACTAAAACAAGCGCTTTTTTTGTTCGGTACATTGATTGTTTGGTTTTTATGACTCTATATTCGCTGTCTATTATGGATTTTTGGTCCATAGTACTATCTGTTTTTCTATTATGGATATTTGGATTTTCTACATCTTGATATTGTGCTTTTTTGAGCGTCAGACTACTAGACTTTTGAGTGAATCGGATTTTTTAGTTGAATTTTCTATTGGATTGTGATAAAACAGCAAGTATCTTCATGCCCATGTGAAATGGCTCCACTGTTTCACTTTCCAATCTAGTAGGGTAATACTGAAAGCTGTCTTATTTGTTATTGTGGCATTTTCATGGGAGTTCCACATTTTAGCCCCATCAGGCTGCGCTGACAAACGTTTTGAATCTAGTTCCCATTTTCAGTAAAATACCAACAGAGTTACTTAATCATGAAGATCTTAACTCCAAATCCTATTGAAATATAAAATAGCGCAAATTACTTTATGATTAACAATTTCAAGATGTTAATGGACAACTATGAATGTGTCTGATGACTGATGACTATGAAAGTGGTATCGATAGACCTGATTTTGACGATCAGCTTCTGTTGAGAACCGCTTGAGGTTTTTTCCTGACATATAAAAATGCCTGTTTGGTTTATGAATGATGAACAAAAATGACAAATAAGAAAGATATCGTTGATATTGATACTTGGGTATCCCACAATCTACAACACTTGCTTTTAATTGTTCCTATTCTTCCAAATACGTGTTAGCATTGGATCAACATTGATCAGCAGAGCTCCTAAGAAAATCACAAAAACTTCATGAAACAGATGCCACTCTAGAGATAGATGGGTGCCTAGCGAGATAAATCTATATTTTACTGTTGAATTCTCTATCTAGCTGTCTTTTACTTCGAGTATCTCATAATTTTTTGAATCTCATCGAACACATGGCCTCCAGTCATTTTTTTTTATTACAGAAAAAGAAAAAAAAACTGTGTCACCTTGATTGGACAGTTCCAATGCAGTAGTTGCTCATCACATAGAAAAAGATTAAGTCAGAGTCTTGTTGATTTCATATAAACATATAAATCTAAACCATTGGCGCAAAGCAACTAAGATGTTTATTAAATCGAGGAAAAAATAGCTACGAATTGTATCAAAAAATTGTTGTATGTAATTTGTTTTCTGAGAGTGCTTTAATCTAAATTTATGATTGGATATTCTCTAGAATATATTCTCCATTGCTATGCAATTTCAATTCATATTGATGATATTGTCGTAGAGTATCTCGATGACCAATACTGATCAAAGTAAGATTTTGTTTAACTAAATAATTGTACATTTTCATTTCCATATTCACATCCAGTGACGAAGTAATTTCATCGAGAAAAATCAGAGTTAACCTCGAAGATCTTGGATCATTCGGTGAAGAAAGACGAAGTAATAGACGAATAAATGACAAACGTTGCAATTCACCAGGTGATAATAAATCTTGCCAAGCATATTTTGGACATGTAAATAAATTCGATTCGACACAATCGAGAATATGTGTAAGATTCCATTCATCGAGAAGATGTACGATTTGTTGTTGACTTTCACCGCTAGGCAAAGTATGTACATCAGGATAAGATAGTTCATCATATAATGCGAGATTAGTAAAATAAGGACGTTGAGGCAATAGATAAGCATTAGCAAGATGGTATGAAAAAGATCCATGAATATTTACCGGCCATAACGAATGAAGAACACGAAAAAGTGAGGTCTTACCAACACCACTATCACCTAAAATGAATTACGACAAAGGTAAATTGAAATGAAAATCAATTACTGTTTGAGTCTCAGATCTCCAAGTACATCTCTAGCTCAACTCTTCTTCTTCCTATTAAAACTGAAATGACATGTTCGAATACAAGACCTGTAATCAGTAGACGTTCGCCTTTGTATAAAGTTAAATTAAGATTTTTCATCAGAATATGTTTATTAATTGACAGTGTAGAATATGATAAATTTTGAATACTAAGAATTTCGTTTTGTTTCATGTTTCTATTCTCTTGTCTTTCTGACCAAATCGTATCGATATTTTTCATATATTCAACAAATGTCTGCACACGATGCGTATTAGCCGCAATAACGGTTAATTTTTCTGTTAAATCATTCAATAGATTAAAACGATAGATGAGATATCCTGTGATAAATGATGTTTGACTAATAATTTGAACGAGATCATCCGTTGATACATGATCATAGAAATGAAAGACAAAGATTGCTAGTGCTAATAATAGATAACTTATGATACTCCCAATATAGTCGTATAAATTAGTCGATAAATTTAAAAGAAACTCTTGCCATGTTCGACGATAAAGTAATGGAACTAGTGTTTTAAGCAAATAATTATCGAATCGTTTATGTTCAAACGCATCACCATGATAAAATGCAATAGTTTCATTATGTGTTCGAATTTGTGCATGGAGAAAACGAAAACTACCTTCGGAAGTATTCTGTTGAAATATTGTTCGGGAGACAATAGAGATGAAGATCTTATTGATTGCAGTCCAAAGAAGAAAATAGATAGTGATCGCTAATGGACCATAATAACCCGTGATTTGCCAAGTGCGATAGGCATAATAAGCAATAGTAAATGGCGAAATAACAAGTAATGGAATGATTGAGGATAATGATCGACATAAAGAATCCACATCTTGAGTTATACGTTGATCAGGATTGTCAATCAATAGATTACTGGTTACTACTGGACTCGAACTAGTTGTGATAATGTGGTCAACTGACTTTTGTTGATGATCATCGGTATCTTTACTAGAAAAAAATAAACTTTTGAAAAAAAAAGACTTATTTTTCTATGGTTTTTTACGTTTGTATTGAATGATTTTGATAATCATTTTCTCGTGTTTGCTTCTGTTGTGTCATATTTAATAAATGATAATAACGTTGTTGTGTAAAATAGAATGAATGTAAATATAGAACAAGTCGCATTCGCCATTTAACATAGAGTAATGAAGATAAAAAAATCGATAATGATTTAAGCAATGCATTCAAAATGACATATGCAAATGAACGGAGAACTAACCAAACAAATACTGAATAATCACGTTGATTCGATGGTTTACGTAATTCAATATAGAATGCTGATGGAAGTAAACCAACAAGATAAATAATATATTGTAAAGCACCTTCATTGAAAAATATCAGTAAGAGAATAATTAATGGATGAGAGTACCATTGTTCACGATAATGATGATGAACATTTAAAGAAAGACGAGATAATGGAAGGAAAACATGAAGAAGATGAATGAATCTTTTAATAAAGAGATAATTGAAGCTATTCGTTGAAGACATGCTCAAGAAAAGGATCGAGAAACGAAAGAAAACATGAAAAATTTGCAGATGCCTGTAGAAATGCTAAATACTTTGTATCGATACGAAGAAAATTGGCATTAATATTTGAATGTGAACTTTGATTTATCTTCAGTAAGAACCTATTTGATAAATGTATGCTTTATTTTCGTATTCATCGTCAATATCTATTCTCATTTGAATATAAGAAGAACAGTGGGATTAATATTTGAATGTGAACTTTGATTTATCTTCAGTAAGAACCTATTTGACAAATGAATGCTGCTTTATTGTATTTATCATTAACATTTATTTCTCCGTCAACTGTGAAAGTCTAAAACATGTGTGCAAGCACAGGTATTGGTTGAAAACTTGTATGCGCACGCGAAATATTGATCCTGTCTTTTATCTAGATGCGCTTACATGCAAAAGTTTTCTGAGACCCTTGCATTTATATTTGGGTTGAATCGCACGCATGTGAACTCGATTTTATTAGATTTTGGTTAAAACAAGCATCATCAGGCAAATCATTTTCTTCTCATAAGTATCTGCGTGCGAAATTTTTGTGCGATCGTGCAATGATTTTGTCTCGTGAAAATGTGCAATAGCTCATTCTGCACTGATACGCATGATTTCCAAAAATTTAAGATAAAGTGCGTTTACACAGGGCTTAAACACACAAGAAGCAACATGCACACGGCAATCTACGTAATCAATCGCAAGTGTTCGGTTGCTTGTAGCTAATGTGCTCTTTCACACGAAATATCCCATGTTTGTACAAGAGTTGCTGACGCATGCAAGATTCTGAAGTTATCTATGACTGTAATACCAAATATGCACCCATGCGAATCGATTCTCATTATGTAGACATGATCACTAGTTATCATCCATAGCATAAGTTAGTCGATTTGTAATTGTGTTGATCTTTCAATGTGACATCTCAAGTTCAAATATGAGTACATATGCGAATGTTCTCTCTGTCATGCGTGTACATACAAGTCATACTATCAACCATACCTCTGGCGCCTTTTCTTTGGGTTTGTTGCTGATCTTCTTGTGTGCACATGCAGAATTTGTACAATCTGTGACGCTTGCAGACGTATGTGCCACAAGAAACAACACAGACGTGTGAAATGTGGTTGTGAATGTACAGAAAGTCATCACCTACCCACACCCACATCCACGTCTCTATGGAACATTATCAAAAAACATTGGATATGCTTGAACAGTTGTCACTTCCAGTTGACTCACGAATCATCGTACGTTCTGTAAATGCTATACAAGCGGCCTGCTGGAAACGTCACGATTACATCCAAATATTATAGTTCGCTTTGAAAGCGCTTGAACTTCATCAAACCGCATTATCGTACGATTACAAAGGTCTCGATCTGGCACAACAAAATGTCGGTCGTCTCTGTAAGGCGATGGGAAAGACCACCGAAGCTGAGGAGCATTTCAACGAGAGCTTCTTGTACTTCAGGTCAGCTATGGTAATGATCATCAACTTGCCCAAAATATTATCGCCGATATTGCGAGTTTAAGCCCTGAAACGTTGGCTCATGAGCAGACACGTATCATCGCTGAAAAAGAGCAAGCACAAGTTCTGGAATTAGAGGCTGAAGAATTTGTACGAGCATTGATTTTGATGAGATTCTTTCTCAGCCAACAAGTCAAAAGTCCTCAAGAAAAATAAGCTATATATCATTTCATAATGGACAGTTTGCAAATTTCACTCTTTCTGAATCTCAGCAATGTACACTACTTTCTATCGCGCCTCTTTTTCAGAGAAAGCGTCGAATAGAGCTATTGGCTTGAGTACAATGTATCGATTCAGGTGAAAGAACACAGTGATCTACTCGATGTTGTTCTATTCGAAGTCTTCCACATCGTTTATCAATCTATTCATAGTTGAACAATTGGTGACAACAATTGCGCTTATAAGCAACTAGATGAAGAAGATGAACATACCAAACCTAATCAATTTCCAACGGCTTGAAAATGGGAATGGCGGCGTGGGTGTGAATGTAAGATTTGCAGCTGTGAGTGAATGAAGGCCTACACTCCCACCTCTGCCCTCACACCTGTACCTCCACCCCCATCCACATCTTCACACCCACATTCACACGCACATGTGCAGCCTTTCGGGACACTTCCAGACTAATGGAAGTCAAGATTTAGAACTTCGATATCGTTTCCCACTTTCCCCTTGTAACAGTATTTTGTGTCGTACTCCAGATGGCACTCGCAAAAGAGTTGTGCTGAACTCGAAGTCTTCTGCTTCCCCTTGTAGTGACGACTGCGACTTGTATCTCCCTAAAAGTTTTTAGCACAGCGGCGGTTTGCATAGATTCGCTTTAGGATCGACGACTACGACTGCTATAGCCCAAAAACTTTTGTCGTCTTTAGTGGCAGCGACTTAGTATGTTGGTTTACATCTCTAATAGCGTCAGCATGCCCTCATACTGTTACAAAACAAAGACAATTATTATATTAGCGCAGGTATCCACAGCATTAATATAGAATAGAAAATAGCAGTAGCAAGCATATGAAGAGAAAAGAAGAAAATGGAATATAAACATGGCGAAAAAATTGATCACTCAAGATGTTCATCTCTGCGTTGGAGTCGAACAAAAGTTTCGTTGGGTGCAATGACAATTATTTCTTCGAGTTGTTGGAATGGTTTGCATGTTTTCTCACCACAATCGATCACTGTGTATGTTTTCAGCAACCGAACAAGTAACATTTTCATTTCAAGCAAAGAAAAACGCATGCCCACACAATTACGCGGACCAGCTCCGAACGGAATCCAGGCCATTGGATGTCTTTTGGTGGCAAATCTTTCGGGATGAAACTCATGTGGATCCAACGGACCCCATAAATTTGGATTGTAATGCAAATTGTAGACGTCGACAGTGATCAATGTACCTGCCGGCACTACGCCAATGCCTTCAATAGGAAAATCATCGGTGCTTTGACGAGTAATCGCTGTTGGTGCAATAGGAAACATGCGAAGAGTCTCTCGAATAAACATATCCAGATAGTCCATTTCGGAGACGGTTTCATATGTTGGCATGGTGTGTTCTGTTTCTGGTTCGAAATAAGCGTCGATGTGCTCTTGCAACTTTTGCTGTTCTTCTGGATGAGTAGCAAGAACATATGTTATGTAACTGAGAGCTGTGCTTGTTGTCTCATAACCAGCAATCACTGTAATGGAAAAAATGAAATTTAAAGAGAAAAAGTGCACGAAAGATTGGTTCACTTACTGAAAAGGAAAATGTTCGCCGAAATCTCGGATTTGGTAATTTTTCGAACTAATGGTACTTCAGCTTCAGAGTCACGACTTTTTGCAAACGATGCTGGGGAATCCTGTAAGAATGGAATTATGAGTTGCACAAAAATATCCAAAACAAAAATCTTAGAAATAGCTATATTCGTGTGAAAGAAGATGATTTTATTGTTTTTTCATCACCAGAGAGAATCTTACTTGAATTAAATCTTCTTCGGACATGGAATCAAGCATCAGCTGCAATAAATCTGTTCGATCAGTATGACCAAAATGTTGACGTTTTTCGATCATTCCATTGGCTTGTTTCACAATCCAAGTAGCAGGATTTTCGTTAATGAGTCGCTGTGTCACGGGAATATAGCGCCGAAGCCAATAGCGGACAATACCAAGTGATTGAAATATACTTCTCCACACTTTTCTCAATTCTGTAATCAAAATAGTTAAAACCAATATTATTCGACGAATCTTATTCCGTGCAAACACCTGTTGCGAATTGAAGAGATAGGGATCGCTGACATTATTTTGCATATCAGTGTCGAGACCAAAGCCACATGACCAAATAGTGTCCATTGTAAATCTTTTGAAATATGCATAGATATCAAATGGTTCGCCTCTGGCACACCGATCCGACATTTTTTTCATTAGTATTTCAATACTTCGATGAATCAACGGTGACATTTGTTTAAGTTTTAGCGAGGAAAATGTCGGATTGAGAACAAACCGTTGTCGTTTCCAACGAAGGCCAACGGCATTAAACAGGCTTACATCCTTTGCTTGCCGATCCACAAAAGGAGACTCACGACGGGAATGAAACTTTGAAAATGATTTAATGAATACATCCTGAAGAACATCTGGATCCGATATCACAAGAATAGGTGTATGCCCCTCGAAATAACCAAAGATGTGACCGTACTTGTTAGTCCATTGGTTGATCGCAATCGATGGTCCTCTAGTTCTAGTGATTTCTAAAAAGTTGCCAAAGAAAAGTGTTGGTGGTGGTCCTGGAATACCGAGTCGAATGAAAAAATCGTAAGCCTTTCGAATGCGCAACAGATATGCAACAACTACAATCAATACTAATGCGACAAGAGTACCAGTGAGAAAAGACATTTGTATTATGCTTTTTTTATGCAACGACAACACATCGAATAAATATCTGTTTTATTTCTATTTTTATAGTAGAGTTATTAAAAGGGCATCTCTTTCTCTTATTCTCCTTTGTGTTCTGTCGCTTTAAATACACTGCGTTAATAGAATGCATGCTTTTTGTTGTTTATCGCAAAACAAAGTTTTACTTGTATCAAGCTGTATTTTGTGGACGAAATTATATGCGTAGATACCACTTGGGTCGAAGATGTAATGATCAAAACAGCGAAGTGCAGAAAAGGATATGTATGTGGGTGTGGGTGGGTTTTGATGTGTGTAGATGTGGGCATAGTCCTCATCTAGCTACACCCACGCCTTTACTGGTTGTTCTCCATTTGACACCTCTAAAAAATCACAGACATTGGGTGAACATAACATGTTGAGTTTTTCTTCGCTCTTTCGTCACTTATGAAAACAGGTATATAGCAATAGATAGAGTTTGTTCCGCTCTACAGAACTGTATATCTGACTTTCTCTGAAAGCTCAATGCAAATGGAAAAGTTCAAATACTTTGTTGTTGTCATGTAGCTGATTACCTCATTTTTGCGAATATTTGACCACTCATTTGCAATACCGCCAGTCTCTGGACAAAACCATTCTTCATCCACTTTTTCACAAGCTATATTTCTTCTATAGGGTGTTATATTAGTCATGTTTTGCGTCATGTGTCTTTTTCTCGTTCTTTTTTTACTGCTTCGTCTTTACATCTGAGAAGATAGCTATACAGTTATCTTCCTTTGTTGTTTAGTCAGTTGATGGATATACGTCTCTTATCTCTTGCTATGGACCATCAAGAAAAATCTATGCAGGTGATCTAAGTGAGTTGTGATCATGTAACATGGTAGCTTGAAAATTTACGAAGCTCCGTTCTTATTCGCTTTGTATAGAAGATTTTTTTTCATTTGTAATTGTTTTGGTAAAATGTATATTTTATTCTTTTTCTTCAAAACAAATTGCATTGACCAGAGAAGCAGAATATGAATAGACAACCTTTATTTCAAGAAGTTTAGAATCGTCTTTCGATATACATATATTAAGATTGAGTGTCACTTTTCATTCTTTATTTATTTATTTGAGTCTGTTCTAGCTCATTTATCACACTCTGATGCTCATTATTAGCTTTCCTAATACATTTCTCTTTTCTCACATTTCTCTAATTGCACGATGTTTTCACTTTGTACAATAATTTGAGTGATGATACTATCGGAGTTCTGTTGTGGAGATGGTTCAAAAATTTTTAAGTGGTAGATCAAGTATTTAAATTAAAACTTCCATCAAATTTTTTACCGTCAACAACATTGTCCTAATGTCACATGAAACTCAAATTGATTCATGAAGCAATTTCCAAAAAAATAACAAATTTACGTTTATAAGTAGCATTGCACTCTACATTTTCAATTTAACTATGCAAATACGATATGTCATAAGTGCAATAATGGCGGTTTTAACGAATTGCATGGATGAATCAATTTATGAGTAAGAAGCAGTAACTATTCCTATGATGACAGTTTGGTGGAAGGAACAATAGATTTCGGTTGCGCAAACATCGGTAAGCTTTGCCTGTTGAATTATTGTTCTATATGCGAAAGTATAAGCTTGTCTTTAATCCAAGAGCATAAAAAGTCGAGGAATCAATTTAGTATTGATTCAAATGTATTAACAGGAGATCATTTTTTAACCATCAACAACAAATTTTCCAAGAGATTTTCATAGAAAATGGTTTTTCTTGGACAATTATTTTGCATCCTAGACAAAATTTTCGCTTTGGGAATATAGTTTGCTGAAAATTTTTTCAAAATGATTTCTGTTTCTTCATATTATGAAATTTTTGTGCAATACGATTGAAAATGAGTGTTGACGGTTTAGAGCGAGAAGGTTGTCCCTCACCCATCACAGACTGTGACGGACATGTCAATATCCTACATTCTGGTTTTTCGAACCGTTTAATTTTAGATTTTTGAACCATTCTATTATGGTTTTTCAATCACAGTGTTATGAGTTTTCAAAGCTTGGACTTTTGGGTTTTGAATCAATCTGAAATTCATAAGCCAGAAAAATCTCTTTTGTCTCTGTATGGGTGTGGGTTAAGGGACACTTGACATCCACACACACACGCACTCATAATAAACTTTCTTTTCTAGAAAATATTCCAGCTTGAAGACCTCAAACGATATTGAGATTTGACGGTTCGAGTCTTTGCACTACTATTGTTATATTTTTGTATCTAATGGCTAGAGTGTATCCATGGAAAATGCTAACTACATTATTAGTTTGTTTCCCAGTATTACTGTTTATACTGCCAATACAAGATTGTTTCGCACAAAATGTGTCTTATCAGAGTTTACTAGTATCACAATCGATTGGTAAATTTGGAAACATTCTCCAAGGTCGATTCATGAATTCATCACAATCGATGTTATGGAAATGGAGAAATTTTACTGATGCACTGGGTGATGACATCACTGGTATTGCTGTATCGAATAATTATAAAAGTCTGATTGTCGCTTTTATGAATAGAAGTGGTGTCGTATCGTCAAATGGTCGTTCTTTCTTTGTATTGGCTACAGGCCTTAGCTATTGTCACTATGCTATTCTATTACCTTCTGGATATTTCATGTTATATACAGATGCAGGAGAACATATCTATAAAATTAATCTTATCACAAAGGAACAAACAGTATTACTGAGTAATGTTGGCGGGTCAGCTGGTACCCGTGGCTTAGCATACGATTCGACAAATCATTGGCTTTATTTCTCGGGTGCACAACTAATGCGCAGTCGTCCAGATGGCACCGAGTTACAAAATATAACTCGACATCTAAATTTAAGTTACGATAATCCAGGTTTCCAAATCATACTAGATGATTATGTCGATCCTAGAAACCCTCGAATCTATTTGGCATTCAATGGTGGTCTTTATATGACAAATACTGATGGCAGTAAAGAGCAATTGATATTTTCATCTCCAGTAGAGGCTAATTACACTGGACCATATGGTGTTACTATTGGCATAGATTCCAATGATGACAAACGATATATCTACTGGAGTCGAGGTCGTCGATCAAAAGAGGCTATTTTGGAGCGTTCAGTGCTTAGTGATGATGGATGCTTAACAACAATCGAAACTATATGGAATCAGAGTTCAACGATAGAAGCATCATGGTTCTATGCTTTAGCCTTGGTACCGTGGAAATTTCCATAATTGATTATATTGAGTCGCGAGCACATGATTCAGATTTCTTGAGTTAGACGGTATTTGAAAATCGAAATAAGGTTAATGTTGAGAGAATTTTTATTTCGATCTAATATATATGAAATGCCAATAAATACACTGATAGATCAAAATGGTTTTTTTTTCATTTCATAAAAATCATGCTTCAATGACTCTTTTAGAATTGACGAGCAACTCATTGTGAACAAGGCAAATATCTGATTGTAAAACGGAAATGAAAGCAACGTTGACATTTGATTGCATATCGTCAAAATTGCATGAAATTGATGTGCAAACATTTAGTTGCACATAATGCAATGTTACAGCACTTCGTTTTTTTTGGCTGCATTATACATGCCTAGGTGCAGTTTTTCACGTTGATCACGAAAAATCTAATGGTACTTCAGAAAAAGCTGCTGTCACACTCACTAACATCCCATTTTTCATTTTCGATGGCGTCATTTCTGAATTTCCCATATGAAATGGAGTCTAGAAAAGTTATCTAGAGTTTTATTACATATAATGTGTTCTTAAAATGTGGCAGACGAAAGAAAAAGGTTCTGTTTTATGATAAAAACAAAATCAGATATAGCGCTATCATTTTTTATCGCTTCGATGGATGCTTTCAGGTGCCAATGACTGTTTGTTCCGAACACAAATAGAAGAATCAGGACGATTCTTCATGATCAATATATTGATTGGTTTTAACTAACTGCATGTACTCACGATTTAACTCAGTTTTGAGAATATTTTTTTTATGCCAAAATTCAAAAAACGACGAAGTTGTAATTGTGATTTGATAAGAAGAAGATAGTCAATGGAAAAGTTTTCAGAAGAATCATTGGAATCGCCTGTTGAGAAAGAGCACATGATGATCAAGATAAATGATAATGTCAACTCAATCGGTTTTTTTGAACGACGCGATTTTAAATGATATTAGAGACATGTTATAATTTTGTAAAGAATAAATTAGCAGATACTATGACAGCGAAAGCAGCTGAAGGTGGGTGTGGGTGTACCCTTATCCCATTCACCAACATCCATATTTTGATTGACTTTTTTTTCATTTGATTAGTCCAGAATGATTTTCACTAATTGAAGAAAGACCTGAGCACCGCATTTCATTATTCATATTCAATTATTTTATGTTCAAGGAACTTGTCTTACTTTAATAAAATAGTGTCAAGAAGGAATATATTGTTTTTCTAGATCCAGTCACTTATTTTGATGTGACTAACGAAATTCAGTGAACAATCTTGTAGAATAATTCATGAAGGATGGTTATGTCGAACACTCTCGAATAGAGATTTCAGAAAACTTTCATACATTGAAAAATTTTAATTGCTTCACAGTTTTCCATGATTTTCTCTATAAACTCAAATTTTTCCTTGCTCGTCAATATAGTAAAGAGCGGCGGTATCTTCAATTTTCTATGTCCCACTGATTGCATTATACGTTTACTAATAGAACTGTGTTGTTATTGTGAATAATGGGTTTGATCTTGTACCCAGGCCAACATAAGAGTGAACCAAGACATAGGTAAATAGTTCATGTTCTTATTCATACAAATTAATCTATTTCGTAAATTGCAATTACTAAGTTCTTTAAAATATCCTTAGTTATCAAACATTATGCATATATTCATAGTAAATGTTAGATACTAATTCAGTTGCAAGTCAAGATCATCGTTTCTGGTAGTCCCGAACGAACACTTCTCTCCATAGCACACATTTAGAGTATCTCACTGCTTGTATCATAGTCAGGAGTTAGAAAATTTGATTAGTTGTTTTTTCCTATTTTCTCATTATCATCCAAAACCAAAACTATTGTCTGATCAACAATGCAGCTCGCCTATGTTTCAGACCTACGACATGATGTCGAGATAGACTTTCTCTTTCCTTGCATATCACTAACTCTATCTAATCGTATCATATCACCATTTTGTTCTTCTTTATATGGCTCACGTGCATCCATAGTTGCTCGGCCTGCCTTTTCTGCAAATAACGATCATCACATTTTTCTTTGAAGTTATCCATCTGAAAATTCATTTTCTCGTAGTTACTGTGATCTATCTAGGTAGTCGTAGTAGTATCAATGTATATTTTGGTTTATTTCATCACCGACATTGGCATTCAATCGCGATTGGAATCGAATTGCAAGATGATTCTGGCTTACCTCTTTTCCTCACATCCTATCTGAATGCAGAACAAATCGACGAAACAAAACGACTAAGATCAATCATTGACTTAACATATATCTAGCTTTTAACTTTATATTTCTGTTTGTAGTATGGTCGAAACGCTATCTTTCTCTTGTCCATCTTTTTCAGGCTATCTAACGGTGAACAAAACTTACAATTCAAATATGTTTTTCTGGTTGTTTCCCGCACAAAATGAAAGCACAGTCAATACATCACTGATTCTCTGGCTGAATGCTGGTCCAGGTATCTCATCTTTGTTTGGTCTTTTCAATCAAATCGATCCATTATTCATCGATGTGAACGGCAATATCCAATTACGTTTCATTAAGTGGAATAAAAACTACCATTTACTTTTTAATGATAATCCTGTCGGCACTGGTTTCAGTTTTACATCGAATGATCAAGGTTTTGCTCGTACAGAAGATGATTTTGCTGGTGATCTTTATGAATGCCTTACTCAAGTTTTTCAAATCTATATTGATTATGCTTCAAATTCGTTCTATATTGCTGGTGAAAGTTTTGCCAGAAAATATGTACCAGCTCTTACATACAAAATTTTATATTGAAAATCTCGATGAAAATGTGAAAGTACATAGTAATCTACAATGAATGGATATTGGTGATGGTGTCTGCGATCCAATCAATCAATATGACTGTGGCACTTTTCTCTATCAGGCATGTCACACGAAAATAAAAGAACCATATTAGTCTGCGATGGCAACTTTATGTGGGTTTGATTGATGAGACTCAAAGAATCTATGTTGACCTGCAAATAGCCTTGATGCAATATGAATTTCTACTTTTCGATGCACTGATTAATGGAACGATGACCAATTAAACAACCTATTTTTATAATGTCACTGGTATCAAAGATTATTGTAATTATATATATATATACAATCGAACCCGAAAATTGAACATATTTCATTCCATTTATTGTACAGACAAGTCGACGGAAACAAATGCACGTTGGTAATATTTCTTCTGGCGTTCAAAGTAATACGGTTGCTTTCCTTTTATTGAATGACGTCGTAAGTTTAACTAAAGACAAAGAATATCCCTTTAGTAGCTTAAGGGGTCATCTTTTGTGAGTGTTTTCGTTCTCACTTCGATATTTTTCTCTATAAATCTTCATAGATGCAAAGTATGGCAGGAAAAATTGCAGCCATAGCCAATACCAATTATAGTGTGGTTATTTATAATGGTCAATTATATGCTATTATTCTTGCTACAACAACAATGAACTGGATCAATCAACTCGAGTGGTTTGGTACTGATGAGCTGAGACAATTCGAACGAATCGTGTGGAAAGTAGATGTTAGGGTTAGTGAAATTGTCGGATATGTAAAGAAAGCAAATAATGACCAAGTTTTTCTTGCTGTGGTACACAATGCAGGTCATATGGGACCCTACGATCAACCAAGAGCCATGCTTAATTTATTTCACCGATTTATTGCGAGCCATAAGAAATAAATCAATACTATTCTAATGTATAACAAAATAAATGTTTCTTTTCTGACGAATCTTCATTCTATTGCGAAAAAAATTAAACTATAATTTCAAGTTGAAAATTTTAGAATGAACTAGAACGAGGGTATGGGATGTAGGTGTGAATGTAGAGTATGGGTGCGGGTGTGGACGCGAACGTGGATGCAGAGAACATCCCACACTCCACACATCCACACCCACGCCTACACCCGCAACCTTCAAAATATCTCAAAATTAAAAATATCATTTAAAGAATATTAGTAAGAAATATTAGACAAAAACAGAAAATTAATTAAATTAAAAATAGTCAGTTAAATACTTTACAAGTAAGAATGGTGAGAGAATGAAAATAGAATCACCCTTACAGAAATGTCTATACAGTTGAATGTTGATGATTATATGACTTGTACAAACTTTATATATTGCATATAAACACGAAAAATAAAAATTAAGTAAAAAAAAATCAGTTACGCATTCTATAGTCGAAGTAAGAATAGAGAAAGAATGAAAGAAAATAACATTGCACATAGGAGATTATCTATATAAATGAATGTAAGATGAATGAAAGGCTCCCAGGTTGAAAAGTCACGATCGAAAACAGTCGTATACGACGAAATACGGCAAAGCACACCCATGTGATTCGAACCGGAAAAAAACCGGCGGTATACCGGCATGATCAGGATACGAATCTACTGATCCTTAGTCTTAGGAATCTAAGAATAAATGTAAATTATCAAAGGCCGCAAATTGATTTAGTGAATCTATTTAATAAAAAGTCCTCTTACTTTTTTATTTAGACATGGAGAATTGTTTTTTGAGTGAAATTTAACTGTTTCAGAAAAGAATTTCAATAACGGTTACATTTCACTCAAAAACAACTTTCGATATATAAATAAAAACTAAGAGGCTTTTTAATAAATAAATTCACTAAACCAACTTGCAACCGATGAAAATTTACATTTCTTCTTTGATTTGTAAGACTTCGAATCGTAGATACGATTAGCAATGGTTGCTTCGTCTTCGTTTCGTTGTTTTGTTGAGTCGGTCATTTTCGAATTGATCTAAATAAAAGAAAAAAAAATTTGCATGAAAAAATACTTACTTTTCTTTTTGTTGTTAACATTGCTCTAAACCAACAAAAAATTATTTTATAAATGAGTACTTACTTTTCATTGTGATCTTAAAATCGATCTAAATGAAAGAAAGAAATAATTCACACAAATGTTTACTTTACCTCTTGGAGTTGAGATTACTCTAAATAAAAAAAAAATATTAAAAGTTCTGTAATAAATACTTGCTCCTCATTATTATGTTGAGAATTATCTAAATTAAAGAAACAAAAATAGTCATCTATATAGATAAATAGATTTGTATTTTGGTAGTGTTTTGACCGCCGGTATACCGCGGTACCCAATAAAACCGTCGGTATACCGCCGGTTTTTTCAAGTACCGCGGTATACCGCCGGTAGTTCAAATAAATGTGCGACATGGGCAGTACCCGTATACGGCGGACGAAGACGATCGCCGTATATGACAACATATGTTCAAATACGATGGCCGTTTACCATAAAAGTAAACGACTGTCGTGCGCGACTATTGTATACGATCGTATATGATCATAACTGAGCCGTGAGCTGACATGTCCATCGATCAAGGCTTTTATCTTTTCAATATTGTACGAAATTCAATGGTCAGTGTCAATTAAAAACAATAAATGAATCATTTTTTTTTCTTCAAACTTCTCTCTTTAATTGTAAGTATTTATTTAAGAAACTAAAGTACTATTGTTTTTGTTTGGATTCATTCCAATGACATATCCAATTGTAAGTATTTAAAAAAATTTCAAATATTTTATTTCGATTTACGTCTACAACAAGTTCCAGATAAGTAGTTATCTGAATAAATAAATTTTTTAAGCCAGATTCATCTCAACGATATATCCAATCGTAAGTGCATATTTAAAGCGTAAAACAATACTTTGTTTAGGTTTATGTCAACAGCATGTACTAGGTTTAAGTATTTATTGTATAAATTAAGCAGTATTTTTCTTTAGAAGTACCGTCTAATCTATGAAATAATAAACATTTACGATTGGACCTGTCGTTGAGATAAATTTAAATAAATAAAAAATATTTTTTTTCTTTTGTTTTCTATATAGGAGAGGTATGAAGAACTTGCCCACATCTCCCCGTCTTTACTAAGGAGAATATATATAGGTTCAATGGGAAACGATAGTGTACGATAGTTTATGCTGTTTGTATGTACGTCGTATTTCGTTGTGATGTACGATACAACGAGTTATGGTCGTAATTCAGACGGCAAACCATATAGAGAAATACGACGGTTTACGGTGGTCGTAACACTCAACCTGGGCTTGTTTACATTTCGTATATATTTCATATCAACAATGATGATGATTCATAATCTCTTTTGTCGATAGTCAGCCGTATTATAAATAGAACGAAGCAAATAGGTTCATATAAAAAATAGACAGCTTTATAGTGTGTAAAAAATGAAAAAATATGCGCTTTTTGAACATATAAAATATAGAAGAATAGGTGGTTGTGTATAATACAAAATATAAAAAAATGTACTCTTATAAGTACAAAGTTGTCCAAATTATAGAAAAGTAATACTCATGCAGACATAAAAAAACACGCACGATTGCCCACACCCCACCCTTTTCCATGACAACATTTAAGACAATTAAAAAAATGTTAGATTAATCATTTTATTCTGGAATGGTAGAAATGTGCGCATATGTTACTATATCTAATCGTCTATAGAAAAAAAAATGGGAGAAATGTTTCTCCTTAACTGTCTTTATTTTTATCTTTTTCATTTTCATGATTAAAAACACAGTAAAAACTTAGTTTCTTTATCACACTGATGATGTTATTCATACTTGAATATTAAAGTTGAATGGAAAGTCTTTTTTAATCTTCTTCTTCATAAGCCTGACAAGTTACCATTTTTATGATATTTGACTGAGACAAACAAAGAGAAAACAAACGAAAAGTGCTGATCATAATACTGTAGTTGTTGTGGATCCATGCAGACCCACAGTTGCATTTTTCTCTTTTAGATCTATCCATGATTTTTGATAAGGATATTATGCATCAACAAAAGACTAGAGATTAGAAAGAATGATTTGTCTGAAATACGAAGTCTTAATGTAGTAGTACACGAAAAACTGTTGAGCTCCCTGAGAAGCTAGAAATCTACGATTTTCGCCATTCAAAAGAAAAATGTGGGAGAAATAAAACTTGACTAAATTATCTACCCTATGTGCTGATCAAGGGTGTGAGTGCAAATGTGGGTGTCGTTTGCATCTTCTTTTTGTTCACATTCCACATTCATGTCGCGAGAACTCGTGAATACTTTCAGGTTTTGAGCACTCGTCGCATAATACTGAATGTTTGTTGAATACTCCTATATAGTTGTTGAGTACTCCAGAGGTTTATGTAAAATATTCATAAACTTAGACTGTTCATTATTGTCATACTATATCCATTTTATTTACATATAAAATTAAAAATAAGACAAAATATACACGCACATAATGAGAATTTTAAAAAAAATGAATATAAGAACTGCAACTATCACTTTATCTTTCCATTTCTTTTCAACAAATAGTATTAAAGAAATCTTCTTTATTAGAGAACAAAGTGAAATTTTTTTTTATTTGTATATAATAAGAACTATATTTATATATTGGTTTCAAAGATCAAGGTAAACAATAAAATTTTTAAAAAGCAAGAAAATTTATTCTTAAGACAATGGACAATGGGCAAGGATTTATACTGTTGTATGATGACTAATTTCATATTAAGAACAATTATTTCTGTCTTGCAGTTCCATATTTCTTGTATTATTTTAATAATAATTTTTCATCTTTTTTAAAACTTTATTATTTTCTTTGATCTTTTAAAATAAATAAAATCTTTTGTTTATAATAGCGAAATAAAGAAATATCTAACTTTTTTCAGTAAAGATGAAGATGTCTTTATCTCTATCTCATAAAATAAGTGTACACTAAAATGCAGATTGAACACAGTGAAATATAATAGAACAAAAATGAAAAAAATCAATTATTCCATGAAACAGAAGTCTAATTAGAAAATAAATATGCAGTATTGATTAGTGCACAGAAAAAAAAATCAAATACACATTTTTAAATTAATAACAACCTGTATTTTTTTAATAATTTATGAAAAAAAAACATAAAATTATTTGTCTATGATATTATTCAGAGGTCTGCATGATTTTCAATCGCAACGGTGCTTATAACAAGAGTTTTTAGTTGGTTTTATTTCATTGCATTTTAAAATAAAACTCAAAACGTCTACTTTAGTAAGGTATTTTTTATTTAAATTTAGAAAATAAAATTTGAGCTAACATTTATTAACATTCGACAAACTAACAGTTTAAAATGAAAATTCGTTTTTCTTTTTGTTTTTCTCAAAATCAATATTAAAAAAAGTCGTATAATAAATGAGTCATCATCAAATAATAGAGGATCAACTAGGTGAGTCGTTAAAATAGTTTCTTTCTATTGTGCGTTATATAATTTTTTTCTTCTTCATCATATAACTTCAATCTACATTTTATACAGAAGTGCATAAATGTTTTGATAAATAATCTGCGAAAAAACGAGCATGAGTAACACATTGAGTACTCACACCATTACTTATGAGTAAGTCTCTAGGGAGAAACTCATATGAGTACTCGTCAGAGCACACGAACAATATTCATACAGATAAAACTGTTCGAGTAATATGAATACTCATGCTGACAAGCCGTACTCATTTGATGAGTCTTTTTACTATTGGCACATTCACATCCTTAATCGGTTGCCAACTGAGATGGTAATCAATCGATTTAGAAATGCACTAATTAATTATAATCATATGTTATATATAGAGACGATCCAGTTTGATTTAGACTTGTTTTGGGTTATGAAGTTATTCGGCGAAATGAAATTAATTCTTCATCATGCATGCAAAGCAAAGGAGATATTTAATTTATAAGATACCAAATTTATTTGAAAACAAAAACACTAATGAAAAATAATTAATATAAGGCTATAAGAAGGTATGCATTATTCAATAGATTGCCGTTATTTACTGACACTACTGAATGCATACTATTTGAAATCATTTGAAAATGAATTTTTTTGATTTTTGAATAATATTTAATGATATGCTTTTCCAAGTTTCAAAGATGACTGAATAGATTTTATGTCCTAGATTTAATTCCAATTTATTAAACTGAACTTCAAACATATTAGTCCTTATCGTTTCGAAATGCAACACTATTAAACATGTTTCCTTTGATAGTTATTTCAACAGATAACGCTTTCTTTTCTTGGTATATTCTAAATTCACCATTATTCATTTCATCAAAATAACTCTCACTGATAACAGCATTCTGATAATTCACATTGTCTTTTTTTATGACATAAAACTTTTTCTCACGAGTAGGAAATATTCAGAGCTTTTTCTATTAGCTATTTGTAAATTCACCAATAAAATTTCAGTATGTTACCTTTATCATGAATCACCTGATTGTTTATCTAGGCAACACAATATAAAACGATAGCTATAATTATTTTCCATAATATTTAAAGATAAAAAAACAGAAACTTTCTAGAGAATCTTTTCAATTATCTGACTCAAATAATGTATGATAATAAATATTATTTCAATACTTTTTATTTATTTATTTATTTGCTTTACCTTTCACCTTCTTTTTTCCAACAAAAGAAAAAAAGAAAAAGGTTGAATGTCTAAAATATTTGTAAGAATCAAGTTTTGTTTTTTAATTTAAATCATTTGATAAAAAAGATTAATTTAGACTTTAAGAGTTCAATCATCCGAAGGTACAAAAAGAATTGACTGGACTACAGAAGATACATATAAAAAATTATATGAAAAAGTAATGAAAAATATTTTTATTCTTTACAAAAAAAAATTTTGTTTTTGGTTTTTAGGTTGCCGATACATTTTCATTATCATCATCAGATCATTTTATTTTATATAGAGAGCAAAATAAAAAGTCACCGATACCCCGTTCACCAATAAAAACAAGTTTTCGGTTTGACAAAAAAATTCTAAAATGTCTTAGTTTAATTTTGATTATTTAAAGACATGGTGATATAATTTATCTTGTTTCAGAACAAGATAATTTATTCTCAAAAGAAAATAGTTCTTCATTAATTATTAAATATGATAAACCAATAGTTAAGTCATCTTCACCATTAAATTTTCTTTCAAAATTAATTGATATTAAAGAAGATGATGTTGATTTACAATTAGATAAAATCGATGGAAGAATACCTCGACAACAAGATCCACGATTGTATGAACATTTTTTTCTTTCGATATAAAAGTTAATTAAATCTTTCCTTTAGATGTCATCATAATCGGCATGGGAAATGTTTGAATTGTATACCAATTGAACCATATGATGAAGAATATTTAAAAAATCATAATCCACCTATTAAACATATGTCTTTTCAAGCGTATATTAGGAAATTACAAAATGAAACATCCGGTGATAGGTAAAAGTTATTATTAAATATTGTTTTGTATCCTTTAGTTTTGCTTTTTTTTTATACATAGAAATACATTTTCTAGTTTGGCAAATATTAGTTGTTCTATTAAAGATCAATGTTCAACAGGCCATGCTCCATGGCCGAAAGGTACAAGATTGATTTATATGAATAAAAATTAAAAAAAAAAACTTGTATAGGGGTTTGCACAAAGTGTCAACCAAATCCGATGACTCTTATGCGTCAGGTAGAGAGATTCTGAAGAAAAGATTTACATTTGATTCAACAAAATTTTATATGTGTGTAACTTGTATAACATCTAATAATCAAAATATTTCATTATGCTTTGCAAATCTCTTCTTTTCATTTAATGAGATCTTTGAAAACTAATCCAATCTTTATTATTTAATTTCGTATAAACAAGCATTGAGAAATGATTTCATAAGTTTATTTATAAATGTATATTCTAAGAGATATCAAAAATAATTACTTCATGCTAAAAACCTCTTCAATCAATATTATAACATCAAAGTTATGAAAGAAAACGTATCTGATTTTCTTTTTAGCCATATCGTCATGTTGATAATATAATGTTTGAAAATGGCAATATGGTAAATCGTTTTCTTGATTATTGGCGTTCAGCAGGTCATCAACGTATTGGTTTTCTCTATGGTCGATATGAAATTTATGATGGTGTTCCACTTGGTGTTCGAGCTGTTGTTACTGCTATATACGAACCACCACAAGTTGAAAAACAAACAAGATTGTTTTATTTGGTTTTAAATATTAATCTTTCTTATAGGAAACATCAAAAGATAACGTCCAATTGATGTTTCCAGATCCACATGAAGATATTGTCGATGAGTTAGCATATCGTCTTGGTATTTGTCGTATTGGATGGATATTTACTGATCTTATACCGGATGACAAAAGATCAGGTACTGGACCTGTTATTCATCATCGAGGATCTATGGTATGAGAAAAGATAAAAATATTAAAAAGAATTTGTCTAAAGTAATTTTTGTTTTTTTTTGATAGAATACACTGTTTTTAACTGCACAAGAATGTATTATGGCTGGTTGGTTTCAAAATAAACATTTAAATAAATGTAAATATTCACCAGATGGTTATTTTGGTTCAAAATTTATTACTGTTGTTGTTACTGGTGATGCATCTGGACAAATTCAATTTGAAGGATATCAAGTATCAAATCAATGCATGGCGTTGGTTAAATCAGGAATTTTATTTCCGACTTATGATGCACCTGAATTAGGTTATATTAAAGAAACAAGTTCAGAACAATATGTTCCGGATGTTTATTATAAAGTAAAATGAAATAAAGAAAAAAGAAATTTATTGCAAATTTATATTTTTCGTTATTAAATAGGAAAAAGATTCTTATAATAATGAGATAATGAAAATAGCTCGTCCATTACCTTTAGAATACTTAATCATTGATATTCCAACAGGTTTTCCAACGGCTAATACTCAAATACAATCAACATTTAATGATAATTGTTCAATCATAACAACACCATTTTGTATTGAAAATCGAATAAAAACAAGTGAATTACAAGTGAAATTATTTATTTTTGAGTAAAATTTGATGACTAAATCTTTTTTATTCAATAGGATATGGATGCATTAGCATTATATTTGCAACAATTCGCAGAGATTGATGTTACAAAATCAAATTCAAAACCATATAAACCAACAGATATCTTAGCTGATCTTCATTTATTAGTATATCTTGTAGTCAATGATATATTTCAATTTTCTATGGTAAGATTAAAGAGAAATTCGAATTCTCATATAAAATAATTCATCATAATTGATCAAATAGAGCCCTAAGTCTCTCCCTCAGATAAAGCTAGTTTTCATCAGAAAAGTCATAATTGAGATAAATGCATGAGAAGATAATTCGATGTTTGATCTTGCATAAACAACATGATTTTTAACATCTCCTTTTTCGCTAAAATTATAACCGATTGTTTGCTATTTTATTTAAAAGAAAATGCGAAACTACGGCATCCGATTTTTCAATGAAACTTTTTGTATTATTATATAAAAACGTTATGCATAAAAAGTAAGAATTAAAAAAAAGGCTTTATTAGATACTCTAATCTAACATGCTCTTTCAAATAAACAAAAATGAGTCTATTGAATGAGAACCTACAGAGAATTTTCAGTTGAAAAATGGGCTATTTTCAACTCTTGTTTGTTAAATATCTTCCGGAAACGTTAAGAGTATTAATTGAGATTTCTTGTCCTATTTCCTCACAGATGTACCAGACGCTGACCGGAAATCATCACAGACCGTATATTAGTAACGTGTCGTTATCATAAGAGAAAATTTAGATAAAATACAGGTTATTTTGTTCTATAAAACAACAAAAATATGCTAGGATCAACTTAATCCACTACTTAACTCACTACGTACTAACGACTTAAATGGAGTTGAAACATGGATGAAAGATGATCATTGGCAAACATTGCTTCAACTTCTTCAAATAGAACGTTAGTACAATTTTGCATGATGAGAAAAAATTCGATTATTCATAAAAAAAAATAATTTTAGTTTCAAGTTTATCATCATCAGTTAATAAATTAACTCACACAGATTCGGAAGAACAATCGCTGGCATGGATTTGTCCACAATGTACTTTTCTCAATAATAATTTCAATGAAAAATGTGATATGTGTTCTTTAGAAAACAATATTTCCTCTTAATTTTATATTAAATTTTTATTTCTTATCATTTAAATTTATCTGAAATATTAAAGCCAAGAAAACAATACTTGAATTTATAGTTTCTATTTTAGATTAATTTTTTTTCTATTAAATAATGAACATGCTGGGTAGCCGATCTAGCATTGGCAGTGCCAATAGCGGTGATGGTCCATTAGACAGTACTGTTCCTTCGCAATATAAAGTACTTACATTAACATTTAATCAAGATTGCACGTAAGATTTTCTATTATTCATCAATTCTATGGTCTTGGCCAATAGTAAATAAAGAATAGCTGTTTGGTGTACCCATTGCCAATGATCTACATAATAATTAGTATATTATTT